GTTACATACAGATCAGGTCACATCGCGCCTTCAGACCCAAGGCGGACAGGCGGCGGGCAGCTACGGGAATCAATTACACGGCGGTTTCGGACAATACCTCACAGTCCACCGGAGGAAGTTAGGCGCGGCTTGCTATTCGAGAGCGCATGGTCGATGTCTCACTTCTCTCCTAGCCATCCGTGCTCCAGGTCAGGACCCAGCACAGCGTTTTGCTCGAGGTACGTTCACTCTTTGGCTCCAGCAGTGGCGCGATTGTCCTCAGATCAGGCCTGCAGTGAAGCAGGCGTGGAGTCGGGTCTATGCCAAGCTCAGTGCCATGGGCCCTGCACGGAGGTCAAGGCATGCACGTGGGCCGTTATCAGCTATTCTTACATATATGCTACCCTTTGGATGGTTCCGCGAGGACCTACTGATTGGCATTTACCACTATCGTATCACAACTGGTCTTTCCCCGATGAAGGATACATTCAAGGAGTTTCTGTTGGATGTTGATACTGCGTCTATGGCGCCTCGTTGGCGCACCGCCTCTGGTCATTTTGACGGTGAGGGCCTGCGGGACGGAGCTGATGTGCTCTCTCTCAGGCGCTTGCTGGATCAGTTGAGTTCAGTACATCCAGGTGGCCCTCGACTTGCAGGGCTCCTCCTCACCATTTCCATCGGAGGCATGTGGGCGAGAACGAGGCAAGGTCTCACGAAGACTGGTGGTGCGAGGCCAGAAGGTACCCACGTTGATCCTACATTGCTGTGTCCTCGTTGCCACGAAGCGGTGGAGGATTCACTTCATCGCGCGTGGTTATGCTCGTGCAATACTGTGTCCCCGATATTCGAGGCCAGCAATGATCTTGTTCCCTCGGCCACGTCCCAGTGCGAACCCCATGCGTGTGTCTGGCTACGTGGCATGATACCAAGCATGTGGACAGCCACACCGTTGTCAATACTATCTGATGATTGGAAATCTTTCGGTTTGGATCGTGCTGTGGGACCAGGCTGTAATTGCCCCCAATCCAGATGGATCTGATGTGATTATTTTCGGTGATTCCAGCGGAGGTGCAGATACTGCGGATCCTCGGTTGAGACGGGTTGCATTGGGTGTATGTGTATCCTGGAATCCTTCGATCCCCCGCGTGTTGCCTCGCTTGTGACAGGTGGATTGGCGGGGATACGGCAGTCAGTATCTCGAGGTGAACTCAAAGCCTTCTGGCTTGCACTGTGGTGCTGCAGCGGCCCCCTACGGTACGTGACAGACTGTGAGCCAGTGTTTCTTGGATGGATGTCCAGGAAGTACAGGTCCCCCAGCGGGGCGGATGCAGAGATATGGGCGTGTATTCAGATTTTGTTGGCTTCTCGGAATGAGAATGACATCCAGGTCGAGTTCGTTCACTCTCATCTCGACGGCGAGGCGATCGTACGCAATCGTGAACGAAGATGGAAGGTCATTGGAAACACTATCATTGACGATATTGTTGGAGCGAAGGCCGAGGAGCTGAGGGCCCCGTCCAGCGTGGGGCACCAGATCCACGAGATCGAGAGGAGAGCGTTCCTCGTCAGGCATCGCCTGCTGCTTGCAGGCTTTCAGAGCGTCCAGGCGGAGAAGGAGATCGCGAGGCGAAGGAGTCAGGAAAGTGAGGGCTCCCCTCCTCCCCCTTCTCCCCCTCCCCCTGTGCCTGTGCCGCCTGCACCTAGCACTATCACCTTGTTCACCACGTCGCACCTGTTGGACGACAGCGGTCGTAACTGCAAGCGTTGTTTGGGGTCGGCCTCCAAGGATCGCCTCGAGACCTGGATGAAGACCCCGTGTTTCGAACCCCGATTTCCACACTGTTCCTCTTGGGCTCAGGCTGCATGTGGCTGGGGACTGGGTGCACGAATCTCATACCATGAACCTCAGCACCAAACTGGGCCTCTGGTTCTGTGGGATTTGCGGGGCTTTCGCCAGCCGTCAGAACATTAAGTTGCGTAAAGTTTGTGAACGAGCCACGCCGACAGGGGAGGGTTATTTGAAATCCATCCGCCTATGTCTGTGGCCCAAGTCCTTTTCCAAGGCTGAGAAGGCGAGGCGCTCTACAGAATTGAGCCACCCCAACCCCCTCGGCTTAAGGGCTCCCTTTTCCTTCACTTAGTGAACCGACATTATCATTCTCATTCCCCTCCTCCATGCGCGGCAGGAGCGAAACGATTGGCGGTGCAACACGCGTGGCTGGAAGGAGACGCGGCGCACTTCGCGCGCTGGACATGTTGTCGCCGACGATGCAACATGAAAGGCAGGAGCGGGGCGCGGCGTACATCGCACGCGTCCTTGTTCCGCGTCGACGCTGCTCAATACGCGGCAGGGATAGGACGCAACTCATGTGGCGCGCTGAACGTCTAGCCGGCCACGATATAAGATGAGCGACAGGCGTCAGACGCGACGCACTTGCTTCTTATGTTGTGGAAGGGTAGGTGGGACTGGACGGAGCCCTCTGGCTCGTCGAGCTGACTAAGTTGACCCCTCCCCCTACCCCTTCCCCTGGACTTTTTTGGGGCGTTTCGCGGGTGGTTGGAGGACCCTTTTTCGCTCAAAATGGCTCCACGAGGGCCTCCGATGCTCCAAGATGGCATCCAAGATGCCTCAAGATAGCCGAAGTTGGTCCAAGACAGCTTCCGACATGCCTCCAAGATGCCCCAAGATGGCCACAAGACGGTTCCCAGTGCTCTCGGAGATCTTTCAGGAAGGACCCCTCCAAGAGCCCAAATGCTTCAAAACCGAAGGACAATTGATGATGTTTGCCTTCTCGCCGTTTCGCTTCCGATGCGCTTTGGGGGCCTCAAAATGACCCCAAGATTGCCCAACAAGGCCCCAAGAGGGGCCGAAGATGCTCCTCAGACGGCCCCAAGAACGCCCAAGAGCGCCCCAAGAGGGCTCCAAGAGCGCCCCGAGAGGCGGTTTTCAGGGCCCCAGGGGGGGAACCTAGATCGGGAGCCCCCATCCTTTGATCGATAGCCTCGAAGATGGCCCCAGGAGGCGTTCCAGGGCTTCCAAGAGAGCCCCAAGACAGCCCCTCTTGGGCCCTGAGAGGGTCCCAAGAGGGTCCCAAGAGGGCCCCAAGAGGCCCCCGAGAGGCCTCAGCGAGCCCAAGATGACCTCCAAGATGGCTCAGATAGCCCAAGCTGGCTCAAGATGACTCCCAAGATGCTCCGAACGGCCCCAAGACCGCTCCAAGAGCGCCCAAGAGCCCTCCAAGAGAGCCCCAAGTAGCGGATTGCGGGCTCCTGATGGGGGGAGCTGAGATGCCCCCCCCCATCCTGTAATCGATGGCCTCCAAGATGATCCCAAGAAGCCTTCCAGGGTTACCAAGAGGGTTCCAAGAGGGCCCCAAAAACTTTCAGAGATCACTAGCAGTAGCAGAAGTCCCAAGAATACCTCCAGATGGTTCCATGAGTCCTCGTCCGCGTCGTCCTCGTCCTCATCCGCGTCCTCGTCCTCCTCGTCCTCCTCGTGCTCTTCCTCCTCCTCCTCCTCCTCCTCCTCCTCCTCTTCCCCTCGCCCCCACGCGGCCCCCATGGATGGCCCGAAGAGGCATTCCAAGGCCACCCTCTTATTCCCAAGGATCTCTCGGTTCACCCTGGTTGCTCGCATTGTTTCCCTAGATGTGTCCCTTCGTCCCTTTTCCCATCAGCTCTCATGGGCACGGCGTATGAATGGGCTGGTGGGGATACGCGAAACGTGAATAATCTATCCCGCCTAACAAGATCCGTCATCCGAGATCGGAGCTCCCAACTTGGGCACGAGGACCGTGGGTCCTCGATCCAAGGATCGAAACTCGGCGATCGTCGACCGTCCTCGTACTCGTCTTCGGGCCCAGGCAGCCATCAACGAGGCTCGATCATCGATCCTAAGATTGAGGATTCTTGATCTTGGATCCGAGCATGCCCGGGCACCTTGTATCCTAGATCCAAGGATCTCCCAGCTTGGTCTCGAGGATCTTGGGTCCTCGATCCGAGGGTCGAGGATCGAGCCTCGGCGATCGTCGATCGTCCTCGTCGCCGTAGTCGGGCGCAGGCCGCCATCAACGAGGCTCGATCCTCGGATCGAGGACCCTCGATCTTGGATCCGAGCAGATTCGAACACCTTGCGTCCTAGATCCGAGGATCTTCGATCTTGGACTCGAGGATCGTGGGACCTCGATCCGAAGATCGAGCCTCGGCGATCGTCGACCGTCGTCGTCGCCGTCGTTGGGCCCAGACCTCGAGGCCAGAGGGTCGTCGAGGCTCGATGTGGTGACACTATGTTGTGCCATCTATGTGGTGCTGCCTACGTGGTGCAATACATATATCTATATATATATACGTGTGAAGCAGTGTGTTGTTGCGGAGGGCGAATGGGTGGCGGCGGCGTCGAGTCGGCGACGTCGAGTCGGCGACGTCGACGGCGACGGCGGCGTCGAGTCGTCGAAACGTCGAGTCGGCGACAGTAACAATAACAGCAAGCAGCAACAGCAACATAAGCAACAACAGCAAGAACAACAGCACCATTAACACCAACAACACCAGCAACAAGCACAACAACAGCAAATAACAGCACCAGGAACCAGCGCAACAACACCGAGCCACAATAGCAGCAGCAACACCAGCAACAACAGCAGCAGCAACAACAACAACCAACAACATCAACAGCACACCAGCAACACCAGCAACACCAACACCACCACAAACAACAACAGCAATAGCAACGGCAACAAATATCACGCAACGACTACAACAGCCAACAGCGGCAACAACAACAACAACGCGACCCAGAAACAACAACAACAACAACAACAACAACAACAACAACAACAACAACAACAACAACAACAACAACACCAGCAACAATAACAACAACAACAACAACAACAACAACAACAACAACAACAACAACAAAAACAACAACAACAACGACACCAACGACCATCCGTAACCATTGAGGCTCAAACGACTAACTTTCGAGCCCCGAGCCAACCAGAGTCTCTAGCCAGGCGCAG